CCCCTATGTAGAGTTTAAGTCAAAACTCCAGACTTAATACTAAAAAGGAAGCATAGTTTGGAAAAATAGTTTTGAAAAAATCAAGGAAAATTCACATAAGTCTTAAGAAAATGGTTTCATTCTGTGATGCATTACTGAGAAATAAAGTTCTTAAATCTGTATAACTGTTATCAGGCAATTTATAGGTGTTTTATCTAGTACTGGGACATAAGAAGAATAACTGGAATAACAGGAATACATTGGCTGGCTTTAAATTAGAGCTTTTTAAGGAGAAAACTGTGACAAGATTGTATGTCCACTCAGTGAGATTTATTTTCTAAGCAAGAACTGTTTGGAAGATTCAGCATAAATATGAAAATCTGTTCCCAAAAGGGCATGAACCTGCTTGCCCTAAGGCAGTTTTCTTCTCTGAAACAGAAGCATATCCATATAGTCTTTAATGTATATTCTTTATATCTTGTACTTAGAAGGTGATAATTATGCATTGTATATATGATTGTGTGCCTTGCAATAAAATAAGAACTGTACCTAAAATAACAAAACAAAACAAAACAAAACAAAAAACAAGGAACTGCAGAATGGCATGCAAAATTAAAGCTGAGCTTTGGAACAATCTTGCACTTGACTAGGGCCCAGCCCTGTTTCTTCCTTTTTTCCTCCTTATCAATGGTCTATATACTCAGTGTAGCTTCTCCTTCCCCATCTGCTAAGGGATCACATGCGTTCATGTAGGAGAGTGTGAGACTCGTTACTGTCACCAGTGGCATGAGGTTAGATGTAAGGGTGAGTCTTCTGGGAGAAATGGCCATGTGAGCCTCCCAAATCCTGGGGTCCCTTTGGAAATAGGAAAGGTCCCTGTTGCCCACCAGGGCAGAGGAGAGCAGCCATCTCCAGTCCTCTGGCACCTTCCAGCTGAGTCAGTCTTGGCCTTTCCTGCCCCCATCCCTAACGTTCTGTTTTGGTTTCTTGGTCAGCCTCCACCTCCTGATCATTCTTAGTTTGCCAGCTGTGAGAAAGGGAGACTGGAACTTGAACCAGAAAGCCCTGCCCAACAAGCAGAAGAGTTGGATGGGATGGATGTGGGTGTGAAGTGTGCAGGAAAAACCCCCTAGCATAGTGAGGACACCTTTGAAAGAATTTGACTAAACCATTAAGTGCAGAAGATGGGAGCTACCATGATCTCTGGGTCAGCTGAGAAATTGGAGGTGACCCACGGGCCTCCCTAGGTCACTGAGTGGGGTCTGCTCTCTGGATGTGACAGAAAAAGTCAACTGCTGACCACATGATCCTGGGACTGAGGGTTGCCAAGTTTAGCAAATAAAGACACAAGACACCATTAAATTTGAATTTCAGGTGAACAGTGAATGTTTTAGTATAAGTATGTCCCATGCAATATTTGGGGCATATTTATACTAAAACATTATTCGTTGTTTATGTGAAATTCAGATTTAACTGGCATCCTGTATTCTATCTGGGAACCCTATGAGGGTGGGGTAAAAACTGCTATGTTAGGGAAGGACTAACTTTGTTTTTTTTGTCTGTTTCCAGGGGAGTAGAGTAGGACCAGTGGAGAGCCGGGCCTCGGTCTGAGAGCAGGAAGAAGGATTTCACTGGCAGGGCACTCGATGACAGCCATGAGGAGCCCTCCATGAGTAACTTGGAATTAGAAACCTTGGAGAGTCCTTCCAGCTCTGACAGTCTCTGAGCCTCAGAATCTCTAGGGATTTTAAAAGGATGGGGTGGGGAGATGATGGAGGAGGATAAGACTAAGAATTAGAAGCCCCCAAAGAGCCTTCACCATTTTTCTCTTTGGTGTTAGGATGGTGGGATGCATGCAGATGCATCAGCTGGGCACATGGCTTTCTCTGTGCAGATGGGAAGTCAGAGTTTCTATAATATTCCAAACACTCTTGCTGTCATTGATTCTGCTCTTACGTTTTTGACACCCATTTTCCAAGGTAACACTGCTTGGAGGGAAACCCATCCCAGGGCAGGCCCAGACTCTGGGCTTTCTTTCTTCAGTGCCCATCCCCTCCTCTTAAGGACAGTGGCAGCAGCAACCTACATGTGGACACCATTTCACAGCTCACAAAGTGACTGACCATCTGTTCCTTATGTGGATTCTCACAAGTCCGAGAGGGAATATTCATCTCCTATTTACATTTGAGGAAGACAAACCCCAGAGATTTGCCCAGTGCCAGGCAAATGGGTCAGGCCTCCACCCGCTCAGGAATTTTTATAATGAACACCAGTGCGTGCCTGCCATGTAGCCTGTGTTAGGGGCTGAGCACGTGAGAAGAGTAAGACCCAGTACCACCCAGTTTCTGCCCCTGAGAGCTCCCAGACCAGGGTGGGAGGTGGAGGAGTCAAGGTCAGTGGATGGACAGATGCATGAAGAGGCAAGAATAACAAAACCCAAGTCCTCAGGGCTGGGCTGAGTATGAGTGAGGATCCCCCTCAGGGCCAGCTCTGTGGAGACAGAGACCACTCAGCGGCCAGGCATTCTTCCTCTGTGGCGGGCAGAGGGTCCTCTCTTTTTGGGCTGGCTGCAGTCTCCACTTGCTGCCTTGGCTCTGTCCCTGGACGTGTCCCTGGGCCCCGTGCATTTGGCCCACAGCCCACCTGGGCCAGACGGAGGCAGCTTCTCCTTGGCAGGGAAGTGCAGATCTTTTCCCTGCTAGGCTCCCCAGGGCCTCGCAGAGGCTTCTCCTTCCCCGCCCCCACCCCCATCCTTTTGTCCAGTAGAACCTTTCCTGGAATTCCAATTGGAAGCAGAGTAAAAGAGAGCTAGTGCTCTCTTTCAAGTGGGAGCTGGCAACTCCAGAGCCCTTTGCTCAGCCCCCGCTGCAGTTGCCCCGGCAGCAGGTCTCTGGAAGCCCAGGGTCAGCAGAACACACTTTAGAAACCGGCAGCTGGCTTCATATGACATCACAGGGCCTGCTTGCCCCACAGGCACCTCTCACAGATGGTGGCCCGAGCTAAGCTTCTAATTTGCTGTGTCAGCCTTGCAAGAAGTCTCGTCCTCTTGCATTTCCTTCCCTGCTATCCATCCAGAGACCGAGTCAGAACCTTGGCCATTACCAGTGACTCCTATCCCCCACCCCCTCCACACCAGAGGCCCAGGCAGGACTGTTTCTTTTCTTTTTTTCTTAATTTTAATTTAAGACATTTTTATTGAAGTATAGTTGATTTACAATGTTGTGTTAGTTTCAGGTGTACAGCAAAGTGATTTGGTTATATGTGGGTATATATAGATACATATGTATACATATATTACATGTATATACATATATATATGCATATATATCCTTTTTCAGATTCTTTTCCATTATAGGTTGTTACAAGATATTGAGTAGAGTTCCCTGTGCTGTCCAGTACGTCCTTGTTGGTTATCTGCTTCATACATAGTAGTGTGTGTCTGTTAATCCTAAACTCCTAGGGGGACTGTTTCTTACCTGCCAGAGCTGTTTCTGTCCCTTGCTTCTCGTCTGTGTTCAGTGTTTATGGAGCTTTGTTCCCCATTGGGGGATAGTCTCAGGAAGTTTCCCCAACAGGAGGTGGGCTAAGGAGTGGGCTGCCCTTACCCCAAACAATGAAGTCAGTCTAGCAGGGCGAGAGATGTGGGCCAGCAGGCCTTGCAGCGCTGGGGAAAGTCCCCATGAGCCCATGCACTTACATTATGTGGCTGCAGAACTGGGCCTGCAAGTAGGTATTAGAGAGGAGGAGGGGGATGGGCCTGTGTGTCTATCATGGGGGCAACTAGGTCCCTGGGCCCTGACAGTCACCCTGGGCCTGACAGTCGTCCTGTGGCATTTGGCACAAGTCACCATCCCTGGTCAGAAGCTGATGGCACCTCGTCCTGGTCCCCAGGATTAAGCCCAAACTCCTCATCCCCGTGTCCTGACTCAGAAATTGTCTCCGTTGCCCTTTTCAGCCTCCCTTCCCAGCAGCCCCTTCACCACCATTCAACACCCTCCACACATTTCCTGAAGGACTGGATGGGACGAAACTGAAAGCAAGGAAGGTTTGCAGGCCAAGGTGGAGTGCATGGTGGCTGCTCACCAGCGAGGCTCCCCTGTAGAGGCTTCTGAGCCTCAGAGAGGACAGTGCTTACGTGGGGCCTCTGCATCAGACGAGACACCCAGAATCCAAACGTTTCCCACCATCCTGACTCCCGCCAGTCTGCCCTGAGCCACCGTCATATCTGCATGGATTATTGCCATCCTCCCTCAAAAGGCTCCTTCTTCTTCCATGGCCCTTTAAAACCGGAAGGCAATCCTTTCCTCTTTCTGCTCAAAACCCCACACTGACACCCCATTTCAGTCAGAGGAGAAGGCCAAGGCCTTACACCCTCTGGCCCTGTCAAGCTCTCTGACGTCACCTCCTCAGCTCCTTTCACTCACTCAGCTCCAGGCTTCTGCTCCTCCGCACCTGCCAGGCACACCCCACCTGTGACCTCCTCCTCCCCAATCACATTGTCACCAAAAGACCATAGACAGCTGGGCCTCATAAACCGAAATGTAGACTCGGGGTGCCATGTGTGCCCTGGGCTCCTCCCTGCCCCCTCTCCCCTCATCCACACTGGCTCTGGAGGCCTCTCAGCAGCCCCATCCTCACCTCCACTCACTTCCCACACCAGAGCTCCATCTACACTTCTCTGCACAAGTGTGCAAGAGGGTGTCACAATCATAGCCCGGGCCATGCCCAAGTGGGTAAAGTGCAGGTGGGTAGACGGTTGGAAGGAACTGGACAAGCAGCCGCAGAGTGTAGTCCTGTGGTCCTGTGGTGGGGGGAGGGCAGGTTAGGGGGTGGAGACTAGGCAGGGGGTGGAGACTAGGCAGGGGGTGGAGACTAGGCAGGGGGTGGAGACTAGACAGGGGTGGAGACTAGGCAGGGGCTGAAGAAGAAAGCACAAAGGGAGGAAACCCCACCAGCCCCTGAGCACGTGGGACTGGCCAGCCTAACTGCACTTACCGGGAGCCACTGGGACCCTGGCCGTAATGCTCTTGCCCTCCAAGAAGGACCTCAAGACCGCCCTGGAGGTCTTTGCTCTTTTCCAGTGGGCCCTCAGCGCCTTGGTTATCGGTGAGTCTTCGGCCTTTGGCAGGGTGACCAAAAGTCCTGGTTTGCCTGGGACTGAGAGCTTATAGGGTTTAGCGGGACTCTCGATGCTGAAATCTGCGTTATCTCAGGCAAAGCAGGACAGTTGGCCACCCGGGCCTCTAGCCTGATGCACTTGGGCATGGTCCACGTGGAATCTGTGAGTGCGCACATGGGTATGGGTGCCTGCCTGTGCAGGAATGTGTGTGCACGTGTGTGTGAGCCAGCCCTGTGGCCGGTGTGTGTAGTGAGCCCTCCTGGGTCGTCAGTGGGGCCTGGAAGGCATGTCTGGGGGAGATGGGGAGCAAGTCCACTGAGGCTTGCCAAGGAAATGGGCTTAGCTGCAACCTTGGGGACCTGAGCAGACCATCGGTGTGAGACAGTTGTCCTGGTGGCAGAGGGAGCTCTGAAAACCTCTTGTCCAAAAGAATTCATCCATTTATCCATCCGTTTTCCCCTTCTATCCACACCACAAATATTTTGTGAAAGTTCTTTAGATGCTGGCTATGGTACTGTAGGTGCTGAAGCAAACCATCCCTATGGGAGGGGGGGCCTGGAACAAAATTCTCTCTTTTTTTTTGGTACGCAGGCCTCTGACTGTTGTGGCCTCTCCCGTTGTGGAGCACAGGCTCCGGACGCGCAGGCTTAGCGGCCATGGCTCACAGGCCTAGCCGCTCTGCGGCATGTGGGATCTTCCCGGACCGGGGCACGAACCCGTGTCCCCTGCATCAGCAGGCGGACTCTCAACCACTGCGCCACCAGGGAAGCCCAAAATTCTCATTTTTTAAGTGGTTTAGGTGAGTACTTGTCTGGAGGCAGGGTCATGACCTAAATGACCTTGGAAGGTATCTGGGAAGGAAGAATGCAGGTGGGCTCTGGGAGCCTGAGACTTACCAGTCAATAGGGAGAGTGAGCTGGAGAACAGGGATTGGGGGGCTCAGATGCCTGCCTGCGGTGGGTATCAGGATGCCTGAATGCTAAAAAGATCAGTGTTAACCTAGGAATTATGGGCAATCAGAGCTGGAAGAGACCAGGAGAAAGGAATTCATATGTACCAGCTACTTACTTTGTGCCAGGCATTTGCATACCTATGGCTTCATTTTAGCCTGCTGCCAACCTTATGAGGTAGAAGCTATTGTTATGCATAATAATACAACTAATAGCTACACACACACATAATGATAGCTTGCACTCATATAGTATTAGCTAACATCTACTGCACTTCTTTTTTCATGCCAGATACTCTTCTAAGCATCTGACATGCTTAATCATCTCCATTGTACAGATGAGGAAGTTGAGGTACATGCAGTACAAGTGGGCCATCCAAGACTGCATAGTTAGCAAGTGAAAGAGCTGGCCTGGGAGCTGAATCCACAAGGGGCCTGATTCTGGCCTATGAGCTCCTGTCCCTAGCTCCTGCATCTCCTTACTTACTGCTGACTGGGAGGCTGGGTGTGGACGTGGCCCTAGAGTACATGTTAGGCCAGAGAGGAAGGAGGAAGCCAGGCCTTCTGCGTATGTAAACATTCTCGACTGAAAGGGGAAAAAGGTCAGCTCCGAATGGCCTCTTGCTGAGGACCAGGGCCCCAGCCGGGCCTCTGCTCTCTCCCTCCATGCAGCCCAGGCCTTGGGGCCCTCTCCTCAGTGAGAGCTGAGTTCCCTTTCTTGAGCTCTTGTCCTATCTCCACAGACTTGCCTCATTACCACTGCCTCCCCTCACTGCCACCATGTTCCCATGAGAGAGAAGAGTCCCCAAGGCCTAGGAGCTGACACTGCGTTGAGGGAGAAGTATGACCATTATGGACGGCCAGCCCAGGCCAGGCCCACGTTGGGGCCTGGAGCCTTTAGACTGGTAGTTCCCCTTCCTCAGTCTTGTCCAGAATGTTGCTCCTCAGAGGTAACCACTGTTAATAGTTTGTGTGTATGTAGCCAGAGTTTATGGATATAAAAAAATATATATTTCACCACATGCATGCGTGTGCATGCACATACACATATAGCCAAGGGGCAGAAAAATATGGATGTTAAAAACACAGTCTTGGGCTTCCCTGGTGGCGCAGTGGTTGAGAGTCCACCTGCCGATGCAAGGGACACGGGTTCGTGCCCTGATCCGGGAAGATCCCACATGCCGCGGAGGGGCTAGGCCCGTGAGCCATGGCTGCTGAGCCTGCGTGTCCGGAGCCTGTGCTCCGCAATGGGAGAGGCCACAACAGTGAGAGGCCCGTGTACCACAAAAAACAAAAAAAAACAAACAAAAAAACCCAACACAGTCTTTGAGCCAGACTGCCTGTGTTCAAATTCCAGCTCTACTCCTTACTATCTGTGTTCCTTTAGCAGGTTATTGATTTTCTCTGAATCTTGTTTTCTTCATTTGTAAAATGAAGTGTGAGAGTGTATTAATTGGGCTGGCCCATGTACGCTGTGTAACCAAGTAATGTGGAGATCTCAGCAGCTTAACTCAACAAATGCTTATTTCTTGCTCATGTTAAACATCCAACACAGGTTGGTGGGAATCTCTGCTCTCTGTGGACACAAATGTTCAGGCTGATGGAGGCCCCGCCAAATTGTGAGGCTGCAAAATGCAGCTTCAGAGATGACCACCAAGTTGGCAGGAAAGGGAACAGAGGCCTCATGCACACTCCTTTCTGCCACCAGCAGAACGGCAGGTGTAAACAACAATGAGCCTTATTCTGAACCTCATTAATTATGAGGTTGAGATCTTTTCATGTATTTATCAGCAATTAGTATTTCTTTTTCTGTTAAGGGCCCAATCATGACCTTTGTCCATTTTTCTATTAAATTTCAGTTGACTCTTAGAGGACAAATAAGAAATAAATGAAGAAGGAAGAGTGTTCAGGGCAGAGACCGGGCAACAGCTGACAAGGCTGGGATGAGGGGAGAGCGTAAAGCATTCAAGAAGTAGCCAGTGGTTAAGTGGGATGAGGGGGTAAGAGGCACAGAACTGACGCTCAATACATAGTGAATGAATGAATGGGAGAGAGAAGACAGAGGAGACTGGCAAAAGAGGCAGGGGACAGATTGTGTAGGCCATTGTCAACCATGGAAAAGTGTTTGGACTTTTTCCATGTGGAGCCATAACTGGGCTGGGCACAGGGCAACAGCATCAGATTGGTGTTTTTGAGAGATCACTACAGTTATTTCTGGGTAGCAAACTGATTTTTTTTAATTAATTAATTTTTTTACATCGTTATTGGAGTATAATTGCTCTACAATGGTGTGCTAGCTTCTGCTCCACAACAAAGTGAATCAGCTATACATAAACACACGTTCCCATATCTCCTCCCTCCTGTGTCTCCCTCCTTCCCACCCTCCCCATCCCACCCCTCCAGGCGGTCAGAAAGCACTGAGCTGATCTCCCTGTGCCACGCGGCTGCCTCCCACCAGCCATCAACTTCACGTCCGGTAGTGTATACATGTCCATGCCTCTCTCTCGCCCTGTCACAGCCCACCCCTCCCCCTCCCCATATCCCCAAGTCCATTCCCTAGTAGGTCTGTGTCTTTATTCCTGTCTTACCCCTAGGCTCCTCATGATATTTTTTTCTTAAATTCCATACTTATGTGTTAGCATACGGTATTTGTCCATCTCTTTCCGTCTTACTTCACTCTGTATGACAGACTCTAGGTCCATCCACCTCATTACAAATAGCTCAATTTCGTTTCTGTTTATGGCTGAGTAATATTCCATTGTATATATGTTCCACATCTTCTTTATCCATTCAACCAATGATGGACACTTAGGTTGTTTCCATCTCTGGGCTATTGTAAATAGAGCTGCAATGAACATTTTGGTTCATGACTCTTTTTGAATTATGGTTTTCTCAGGGTATATGCCCAGTAGTGGGATTGCTGGGTTATATGGTAGTTCTATTTGCAGTTTTTAAAGGAAACTCCATACTGTTCTCCATAGTGGCTGTACCAATTCACATTCCCACCAGCAGTGCAAGAGTGTTGTCTTTTCTCCATACCCTCTCCAGCATTTATTGTTTCTAGATTTTTTGATGATGGCCATTCTGATTGGTGTGAGATGATATCTCATTGTAGTTTTGATTCACATTTCTCTAATGATTAATGATGTTGAGCATTCTTTCATGTGTTTGTTGGCAGTCTGTATATTTTCCTTGGAGAAATGTCTGTTTAGGTCTTCTGCCCATTTTTGGATTGAGTTGTTTGTTTTTTTGTTATTGAGCTGCATGAGTTGCTTATAAATTTTGGAGATTAATCCTTTGTCAGTTGCTTCATTTGAAAATATTTTCTCCCATTCTGAGGGCTGTCTTTTGGTCTTGTTTATAGTTTCTTTGCTGTGTAAAAGTTTCGAAGTTTCATTAGGTCCCAATTGTTTATTTTTGTTTTGTTTTTTTTTTGTGGTATTTTTTTTTTTTAACATCTTTATTGGGGTATAATTGCTTTACAATGGTGTGTTAGTTTCTGCTTTATAACAAAGTGAATCAGTCATACATAAACATATGTTCCCATATGTCTTCCCTGTTGCGTCTCCCTCCCTCCCACCCCCCCCATCCCACCCCTCCAGGCTGTCACAAAGCACCGAGCCAATATCCCTGTGCCATGCGGCTACTTCCCACTAGCTATCTACCTTACTGCGTTTGTTAGTGTGTATATGCCCATGACTCTCTCTCGCCCTGTCACAACTCACCCTTCCCCCTCCCCATAACCTCAAGTCCGTTCTCTAAGAGGTCTGCGTCTTTATTCCTGCTTTACCCCTAGGTTCTTCATGACATTTTTTTCTTAAATTCCATATATATGTGTTAGCATACGGTATTTGTCTTTTTCTTTCTGACTTACTTCACTCTGTATGACAGACTCTAGGTCTATCCACCTCATTACAAATAGCTCAATTTCGTTTCTTTTTATGGCTGAGTAATATTCCATTGTATATATGTGCCACATCTTCTTTATCCATTCATCCGATGATGGGCACTTAGGTTGTTTCCATCTCCGGGCTATTG